TCTGGTCCCTGGCTGCCAGGAGGCCCTCAGACGTTGATAACCCTGCCAAGTGCCGGGTCCCCTACCACTCCCAGGAGTCAAAGGCGGATCCTTAAGGGGGTTGAGTAGTCCAGCATGAGATGAACCCCCTTGAGGATCCGGAGTGGGCGGACGGGCCGAACTGGGTCCTTTGCCCAACTCCCCAGGACCTAAGTTCCCTCTAAGCTGTGCAGCCGCACAGCAGGCTATCAAGGGCCGCGCAGGGGAGTCCTCTCTCTCCGCCGCAGCTCCGGGGCAGCCTGCACCCTGGAGCCCTCACCACCAGACAGAGCCCTCACCCCCCCCGCATTCCAACCTCCTGCCCCAGCCCTGAGCCCTCTCCCACACCCCTCATACCAGTCCCACCTCAGAGCCCATGCCCCCAGCCAGAGCCCTCACCCCCCCCATCCCAACCCTCTGCCCCAGCCCTGAGCCCCCTCATCCTGGCCCCATCCCACAGCTTGCACCCCCAGCCAGAGCCCTCACCCCCCCACACCCCAACCCTCTGCCCCAGCCCTGAGCTCCCTGGCACGCTCCGAACCCCTCAGCCCCACCCCCACCACACATTACCTCCATATTGGCACACACAACAGAATTCATTCTGCACATGGATGTAAAAAATTAGAGGGAACACTGCCCTTGATCCTTCTTGCACGGTGCCGGGGAGTCTCGTTCCTTCAGGTGCTCTTTGGCACCAGCGAAGGAGAGCGGTGCTGGGTGGAACTCGGTGCTGGCTGTGCCCGCCACACCGATGCCGAGGTGCTGGGTGTAGAGTCGGAGTGGGAAGGCTCCGATGCTGGGCGAATCGCAGCCTCCATGAGGAGGGCCCTTAGATGAATGTTGCGCTCTTTTTGAGTTCTAGGACGAAAGTTCTTACAAATGCAACACTTGTCCTTCACATGCGACTCTCCCAAGCACTTTAGGCAGCTGCTATGGGGGGTTGCTAATGGGCATAGGCCTATTACAGGCAGAACAAGGCATAGAACCCAGGGACCGTCCCCTGCTGGGACTTTAACTTACTAACTACAGTACTTAACACCACTAACTACTGTAAACAAACTATATACAAAGCTAACAAGCACTAAATGCTAGAAAAAAACACTATCCACTTGAGAGGCAAGGGGAAGGTGCTCCGACCAACTGTCTCAGATGGTAAGAAGGAATTGAGAGGGTGTAGGGCTGGTGATGCCTAATTTACCGACGCATGAATGTGGCACTCCAGAGGGTGCCACTGCTGACCCTAAAGATACCGCTACGGCAAAAAAAAAAAAAAATCTCAGACAACTGTGCACGTGGCCGCGCACTCCCCAAGAATGGAATCGAAATGAGCAAGCACTCGAAGAAGAAAAACCTGTTACCTAGAGGGAGCTGTATGTCAGCAGCCTCCTCCACAAAAATCTTGCTTAGAGTGGGGAGGAAAGTGGATCACCTGCCATATATGGAAGAATTCACAGTTCAAAAATCTGAATTTAAGTACTGGGTATTTAGATTAAAAAAACAGTCTAATTTTCATCCAGCTGAGGAGAATGTGAAATATTTATCTAGTACTTGTATTTAACTTAATAGTTCTAATAACTGTTCCATACCTTCTAGAGGGAGCAAGCAGGATGACCGAGTAATAACGTGGCAGAGAAGTTTCAACATTGGGGCAGCTTTTCAACAGTAAGGCAGTAATAACTATTCATGCTTTTAATTTTATATACTTTTATGTTGCATTCCAACGGTACAATTAGTTTTGTGGGAGCCATGTCTAAAAGCATATCTTTTGGAGCTTCATTTTGAGAACTACCTTAGAGATGTGAAATCATCGGTTTGTATTTTCTGCTAATACAGTGGAAACAGGTTAATGACCTGATGAATATGCATTTCTTTGGGTTTTTTCAAGAAAGCCAAATTACTGCTCTCTCTTTTGTAACTTGTTGATCAGCATTACTCGATTGTAAATAACTTCTGGAATATGTTGAAATACTGTTAACTTTGGAATCCTTTTACTTGTTGAACATTTCAATAAATAAGATGAATAAATAACTATTCTAGACAAGCCTATGCATAGGTCCAGGCTATTTCAGCTATAATTTCAATGTTTTTCTAGCAAACGTAGATGCACACAATGTAAATTATAAAATTTCACTAATCTGTTTATTTTATTCTAACATTTAAGTATCTGAAAAGTCTTAGGAGTATATCTACCCATGCATATACAGTAACTTCTCACTTAACGTTTTAGTTATGTTCCTGAAAAATGCGACTTTAAGCGAAACGATGTTAAGCGAATCCAATTTCCCCATAAAGAATTAATGTAAATGAGGGGGTTAGGTTCCAGGGAATTTTTTTTCCACCAGACAAAAGACTATATTTTATATATAGTCACACACACATATTCACACACGATATAAGTTTTAAACAAACAATTTAATACTGGTACACAGTGATGATGATTGTGAAGCTTGGTTGAGGTGGAGGAGTCAGAGGGTGGGATATTTCCCAGGGAATGCCTTACTGCTAAATGATGAACTAGCAATTGGCTGAGCCCTCAAGGGTTAACTCTCACACTCTACAAGGCAGCAGGAATGGAGGGAGGGGAGACAGCATCTCAGAAAGAGACAGACACACACCGTGTGTGTGTGAGAGAGAGAGAGAGAGAGAGATGCACATTTCCCCTTTAAGTACACTGCCTTGTTAATTAGATCAGCTTGCTGAGCCCGAAGCTGCTGCCAGCTGGAGCCCAACTCCCTCCGTCCTGAGCCCTGTGGTGTATCCCCCCGCTCTATGGAAGATGGGATAAGCGGGGTGCAGGAGCAGGGGGGAGGGGGACACCCTGAAATTAGCCCCCCTCTTTCTCCTCTCCCCCCCACCCCCCTGCAGAACAAGCAGGAGTCTCGGGGAGCAGCTCCAAGGCAGAGGGCAGGAACAGCACATGGCAGCGGGGGGAGGGACAGCTGCAATTGCTAGCCTGCTGGGCAGCTGCGGCACAGGGAACTTAGGGGAACGGGGAGCTGATAGGGGGTCTGCTCTTCCTGCAAGCAGTGGACAAAGCAGGCGGCTGCCAAACGACGTTAGAAGGGAGCATTGCACAACTTTAAATGAGCATGTTCCCTAATTGATCAGCAACGTAATAACAAAACAACGTTAACTGGGACGACTTTAAGTGAGGCGTTACTGTAGTATAAAATGTGTGAATCTGTTTAAAACAAGAGTTTGCTAGGTACTTTCAGAATTGAAAAAATGCACATCAGTTTTGATTATAAAGGCTCTCTTCCTTAAAATTGTACAAATTGTAATTTCAAAAGCATTTTAAGGTCTTTTAGATGAAATGTTAACATTTACTGTGAGCTGAGATTAACATAAAATGAGTACTCCAATGATCTGATAATCTATGTTTAACATATGATCCCTCGAAAGACAATTCTATTGTTGATCAGGACACACAACTGTATGCACAACAGACATGGGATAGATTTAAGAGTCAGGTCCCAACTTCGTTAATTTAACACTGGATGGGGTGCTATGTGCCCACCCTCTGCCCTCACATACCGAGCATTTAACTGGTTCCAGTGTGGGGCTATCGGGCTCCCACCACAGAGCCAATAACTCAGAGTATACCTTCTCAGCCTACCCCTGGGACTGAGCTCATTTCTGAATCCTTGCTCCCTTTCCCTACATGGGGGGAGGTAGATGCTACCAAGGGGATAGATACCTCAGTCCACAAAGAATTCAGGTCTCCCCTTCTCCTATAGGCACAAGGTCCACTAACAAAATCCAGGGTCTTGTTTACCTCTGGGAGCTGGTCCTTCTAGCTTTTATCTGCTCTGGCCACTGGCCACAAGTTGCAGTGAGCTAAACAGTCTTCCTCTTTCCTAATATTAAACTTTCAAATACTATTGCTTTCAGCCCAAATGTGCTTCCATGACGCTGCGAGCCCACCAGACCTTTTGCCAGAAATATTACTTCCTCATCTCAAAAAGAGGCAACTTGTCAGACTCGCAGCATCATAAAACCATAACTTCTATGCTACAACTAAAGGGAGGAAGGCCAGGGCAGTTAACAGAAGCAAGAAGTTTTTGAAAGCTTGGGAGAATTTAATGGGCAGAGGAACAGGGGACATGCAAGAACTATTCCACTAGCATCATCTCCCCTGCCCCACCTAATGGAAAGGTGGAGGACCTAAAGAGGAGGAGGGGCCAGCCCCCATCTTGCCACTATGTGCTCTTAAATCTCCCTCACCCCTTCTGAATTCTGTTATATTCCCCATTGACTGAGGGGGAGAGGGGAGCATTGGTATGGGAACTTAAGTCTTCCCACTACTCAGTGATGAGTGTAATGCGTAAACTGTGGTAATAAATGCTGTATAAATACCTACAAAAATATTAACTAATAATTGTTTTACATGATTCTAACTTTTTAATCCAAACATAGTCAACCTAAATGTCTTATATTAACTATTAAAAAACCAAAGCTGCTTTTTTTTTTTTTATAATTATTAAACTTTACAGTTTCTTCATTTATTTACTTTAAACCTGTCATCCTGGCAACATATTGTGGAACGTGAAATAAGAAGCAATCTTACGCAGATAATCACAGCTATTAGACATTGATTGGGCCTATTAGGTCATGCAGTCTATTGCCTTGGAGGTGCAAGGTAGTTCTCTACAGTATCTTCTCCAGTAAATCATTCTAGCACTGAGATTTTCCTTTGTGAACAAGCAGATCTTGTGTTTAGGACTTCATTTTGATATTCTGTAATTTAATCTATTATAGCTAAACTTGTCCACATACACTTTAGACCTAAACAATTACACTCTCTCACTGGCGTTTACACCCTTTAAATATTAGTAAATGGTTATCATATTCCCTCCTTAGTTATAACTCTGCCAAACTATACAAAGTTATACATTTCTTCAAAATGTCTCTCTCCAGCCCCTATTCAATTTTTAAATTCTTAATGGTTTGATGAATTTTATGGTATACAACCAGTAACTTACCTTCCCAATATTTCCAGTAATTCTGCTATGCCATTATGATGTTCTGTTTCATAAATAAACCTAAACAAATGAAATACAGTTTTAGTCAGTCAGTATTGACTATATATAGGCATACAGCCCTATCTCCAAGACATGACTTTGTATCTATCTGATGTTTCATGTAGCGTCAGAAAAATGTGAAGTGGAAAATTAGTACTTCAGACAGTGTACCAACATTTATATTCAGCAGGCTGAAAAACCCATTTTTAAAAATATAGTATGTACAAGTCAGGAATATATTTGATTGTTTTGGATAATTAAATCTTGAGAGTTGCTTTTTTGCTGTGCTTACAAAATGATCTATTGATAGCAATAAGTAGCCACTTTGAATGCTTTTATTTTTAAAATTTACACTACTCAAAAGGTCCTAGGACTACAAGATACTCGTGTTGTTTTTGCTTCCTTGCAACATCTGTTCTGTAGCTGAACTGCATGCCCTGCACAGTAATGCTATCAATGGCATATCCATCTGTACTGAACTGGCACAGTAAGTTACTGTTCTCTAACCACCTACACTGATGAGAAAAAACGAGCAAACATCCTTGTGCTTTTCCAGTTGTCACATTTTATGCAGGGGTAATGATCAAAAACTGAATGCAGTCAAATTATATTTTAAAATTAAGACAATACTGAGCGTGTAGCATGATGCTATAATTTATTCTCCCATTTGTAAGGCAAACGGGTGTGAGGTGTTCCAATAGTTCCCAGATATCGATCTAAAAGATTTGTTTTGCACTATACATTTGTTTGCAAGATGATCAGTAATAAATAGGACAAGTCAAGCTTTCACATTATGTTTTCTCTTTTGGTGGAAAGGCACAATTGGTTGATTTTTTTGGAAGTTTTCCAAAACTATAAAGCTCCACGTTTGTCCAATTTATACTTTAGATAGGTTTTGAAAACACATCACAGAATTTCATCAATAAAATTTAGAATAGAAAACAGTTTTCCATTTTAAAATGTTTTTATAGAATGGATTCAAAACAGTTTGCTTTGAGTATTATTTTCCTCAGAAAAAGTAACTTGGTTCAGATGAGAACATTTTTTGCTGAAAATGAAGTTGGCAGGAAAATCCTTTTTATTTGATAACATTAATTTCATTTAATTGTTAAACACCAAAACAAAGAAAATATTTAAAAAGTAATAAATACACAAGGAAAAACTTTAAAATCCATATCCCAATATCAGACAGACACATAATTTTAGCTTATGATTCAAGGAAGCAAGAAAAGAAACTCTGCTTAAACCTGGCCTGGGAGTTACACTGAGGACCTGCAGAATCATGCCAAATGAGAGCAAAGTAAATGTTTTAGAGAGGTGTACATTACATTAAAAAATGTACATGTAACTATCTTTCAGTTAAATTCAAGGATTAAGAAGTTGAAGGAACTTGTTTGTAAACTTATTTTTCTCCTTAGAATTTTATGCCCAGAAGTCCTATACAAAATTTCTATACTGATTTGTTTTTATTGAGATGGATAAAGACTCTAGTTTCTATGTCCTTGAGAATTCAGTTGGTAGATAAAGAAGGCTTCTTATTTATACTTTGCTGAGAAGGGTGCTCTGTGCTCTGTATACTATAATCTAGATTTCACTACAGCATTCCTTATGTACATTTCAGAACAGAAGCAGAAAAGTGAAAAAAAATTCCATCCATTGTTTCTACAACCTAAAAAAAGGTGAATGGGCCATTCAAAAGACTACTAGAAATGACTAGATTTGAAATCTTGACTTCTATTACATTAAAACACTGCCAATGCAGAAAAAAATGGCAGAATAAACCTCCATTAGGATACATTTCAGATATATTGTTTCATGAAATTGTGCATTCCAGCATTAACTTAAACAAAACCAACTATTGGTTAAATAAATTATAAGCAAATTTGCATTCCCTTTCTGTCTTTTCTTGAAATCCTTTTCCCTGAAACAAAACTTAACAGCACTTTGTCTAAGAAAGAGTGGGGTTCAGTGTCCAAGAACCACTGCATGAAGACAGAGCAGGTGAGGCTTACTCACTCTTTTTAGGCAGTTCCTCAGTTTTTTTAAAGGAACATTTTTCTAAAGGAACATTTTTCTAGCGATAAGATCCCTCTACACCTGAACTGGCAAAAAGCTTTTGTGCAGTTGACACCATTCTCTTCAAGGGGCCACATGTTTGCTTTTAGGAGGAAAAGTACACAAGGGGCAGAGACACAAGAAAATGTGCTAGATACAAGTAACACTGCTATACAGCATATACATCTACAGAAAAATGAGATGCATCAAACAAAGTGCATGGCTTCAAAAGCTGAAGTCTGTGGAACCTGTACTGAGACCCTATTGTGCGGCAAACTGCTTACTTGCAAATGGAGTAGTGATTAGTCCATATTTAAGGATATATCAATCATATCCTGTCTAACATGAAGCCCATATATACCAGCTGTTTGCCCCTACATGCTTGGAAATCCACTTAACACTTTAATATCATGTCACACTGAGGTGCTGATATAGGTCAACTGTAAGTTTGGAAACAGTCATGAACTGTGTTTCCTGTGAAAAATTTCAAGGTATGTAAGTTTAGCTTTTCCCTTCCCTCCTTAAAATTCCTTCCAAATTTCTAAAGCCTTCTCCAACTTTGCTTTTTGAGAATGTTCTACATGGTACATTACTGCAGTAGCAATTTTATATGGAGCAACTTACTAACAAGCCAGATTTTGCTACCCTTATCTATGAGCAGTGCTCTGCAAGTATCGATTAAAACAGGGTTTCATGGTAGTAAGTTTCTACTCAACAAGAGCAAGGGAGGCAGAAACTGGCTCTATGTTTTTGTGGTGGGTTGCTATTGCTGCACTCAGAACTGCAACCCCACTGAGTATGTCTCCACTGTAATTAAAAAAACATGGCTAGCCTGTCCAGCTCACTCAGGCTCGCAGGGCTTGGACTAAGGGGTTGTTTAATTGAGAAGTAGATGTTTGGGCTAGGGCTGGAGCCCAGGCTCTAGGACCCTGAAAGGTGGGAGGGTCCCACAGCTTGGGTTGCAGCCCAAGCCCAAATATCTACACCACAAATAAACAGCCCCTTACCCGAGGCAGCTGGCACAGGCCAGCTGCAGGTTTTTAATTGCAATGTAGACATACTCTGACCTTCTGAATTTACATCTGTGTTTATTGAACTGGGGTGTGTATGTGTACGCGCATGCAAAGTTTGGCCAATGTAACAATAACTATTAGAGGGGATCACTATCCATTTACTCTAGTGGTTACTGCCACAGACAATACAAAAACTCTATCAAAATGTTTATAAGTGTTCAGGGAGTCATTATTTTTATTCTAAGCCAAATATGCTGGAGGCAAAAATCCAAATAAGCAATGTGTTCTGTTTCCTAAAAATACTCTCTGGATTCCAGAGAAAACAGAAACATTATTGAAAACAATACTAATATAATACTTAGCTGACAAGGTCTAATGTTTATTTAATTGAAATCTAGCATACAAACGGCTCACTATAATGGACTCAATTTTTAGTAGTATATTTTAGGTTACTCCTCAACCATTTCCTTAAGCTTGTGAATTTATAAACATTATTGATTTGGTTATCTAAAGTGAAGATAGGAAGGAAACTAAGGTAACAGTGCAATAATGCAAATAGGCATAATATCAGTTAAAGAGTAATTGTGTACCTACAACACACACTAGGGCAGAACATTTCAAAATAGCTCAGCCTCAGTTCACCAACCTTCCAATTGGAGCTGAGTTTGTGCTGAGTTCTCGGGAAGTCTGAGAACTTAAAACTATCCAGTTATGAATATTGGATATATGATTCTATATTCAAAAGAAAATTAATAACCCTGATTCACAACCAAAGTGGCGGAAGCAAAGACATTACTATTATTATTTCTTGCAAGAGCAAATACACTTTTGGCAACAGTACCACTGCGGTGCTTTGACACCGATTATCAGGACTACCCCTAATTGGATATCTTTTCCTTATGCACCTCAAATTGTACTTGCTTCCCTCAGAAATGGAACTTGCCCTTTGAAGTGAGTTCCTGCACATGTATTTTCTTCACTTGTGTTGCCATATCTGTCCCCAGGATGGATATATAGATATAGATATATATTATGAAAAACTGAAACAAATGTATCTACGTTCTATGATATTACAAATAAATAATTATAACAACAACAACAACAACAACTACAATATGCACTGCACTCGGTAACATGGCGCTATCATTCAAACAACTCATCCCTGATAAAGCACTATATAAAAAGTCAAGTTGACACAAAACTGATGTAAATGCAGAATCTCAAATGTACCCAAACTGCAGCTATAACATTTATCACATGCTATACTTCCCCTGATTTGGATCCCACTGAGAATTGCTTAATTAAACAGATGCCAATATTATTAGGCACAAACATGTTTACACAGAATGAAATAACTAAGATTTTGCTAATAAGGGACCAAAAAGTCTAAATCACCGTATCTAATCATATGTATCAAAATAAAGAGCTGTGACATACCTATAAAATATATTATTAATTTGTTTCCTGATGTAAGCTCTTAGGCCTAAGAATTTCCCATATATTCTGTGAAGAGTAGTTTTAAGAAAATCTCTTTCCCGAGGATCTTCACTGTCAAAGAGTTCTAAAAGCTGTGAAAAAGAAAGATACATTTTACTCAAATCTAATGCATTTTAAATCAATTTGGATTTAAAGCTTGAAGATATATTCATTTTTACCTCACCTGCAATACAAACTTCTGATCAATATATTTCTTAGCTACATTAGGTTGGAAATCTGGAGATTCTAAAAATCTTAAGAAAAATTCATAAACAAGCTGAAAAAAATCCACAAAGAAAAAACATTAGTTTTTTGATACAATATTATATTTTTGTAAGCAGTACAATTACAACTCAATTCTGACACTGTTCAAAAAGAAGCTTCCTAGTTCAAGATAGTATTATACATTGTTTTTATATCATTTTACAGCAAAAGTAATACTACAATTTGGTGGGGGGATTGTACATCATCAGGTGCTGTATTTTCTAACAGTGCTATGTTCTTTAAACTGCAGAGAATTCCCAAATACTACATTCCTGAATTAATTTTACTTCATACCAATAGATACTGATCTAACATCCATGGTGTTCAGTAATGCATATTTTGAAAAATCTTTTACTTTTACTTTGCGCTCACATTTTTCAAACATCTAAAGCTAGAACCTTGCCATAGATAAATAATAAAAACAAAACATGCATAGTAAAAATAATCAACTAAAGCTCACTTTAATCTTTACTATTTAATTTAAAATCATATTATGTTTGTACTGAAACAAGCAACAAACTTTTGACCTCTAAAAACACAAAGATTGATTTTCAACGTAATTTTCTTTTCAGTTGTTTACGCATTAATATCTTTTGAAAGATTAAAACTAATAATTTCAAATGACACAATGTAATTTCAAAGACTGTCCAGCTCTTAATATTAACAAATCTATTTTTGACTGCAAAAGATCATTTACACTAGTGTGTTTTACACACAGTAGGAAGACACATTGTGTAATACTATTTTGCAATAATTTAGTTACTATTTAATCAAATGAAATGAGGAGATTGCTAATTACCTGTAGGTGAGGCCAGGCAGCTTCTAGAGTTGGTTCATCTTCCTCTGGATCAAATTCTGCCCCCGTTGGATTAGAAGATGGTGGTAATGTTCGAAACATGTTAACTGCAAACTAAAATCACATGTATCTTTAAGAACTCTGAAACAATGGAATTATTTAAAGATGCTTACTGAGATAAGGATTCTTTATAAAACAAGTATTTTAATTAATACCACAAAAGTTTATCATTTAAAAACTGGTACAGTATTTAACTCAACTAATGTTTAACAAAAATGATTAGCTAGTCAATTAAAACTTTCTTCTCTGTAGATTATAGCGCACAGAACATTTTCAAGTCATGTTTCAAGTCTAAACATGCAGAGAGAACCCTGTTACTACAGATATATTTGGGAGCTAATGATGTTAGAGAACGTTTTACAGAGAAAGTGTTTACAAAGAACTATAGAATTGGAAGCCAGAACAATGGAGATTAAATAAAATGTTCACTCATATATGCCCTGTTCCAAGAAAATGTCCCCAAATGTTATGACAGAAAGCTACCATATTATGATTTTAAAAATTGTTTACATATCTATAAATTCAAATATCCATTTATCACAATTCATTACATTCTGTCACCTTCCTGTTTACTATCAATCACTGGCAAATATTCTAAAAAAATATTCTTGCCCTGAACATTCACTCCAAAATTAGTGTGTGGTCCCAAGCCACTTCCCTTATTTTCAAAAGATTAGAAAGACATGAGATTCTGAATTGGTCTTGCCTATTCTAGCCTAAAATTTAACCTCCTCCCCCAGCTAGATTAATAAGAATCTTAACTCAAACTCATTGTACAATTGTATGCAAGGGGAGGGGGGGGGGAATAGAGGATTGGAAAGTGGATCAAAAGAGGATTGCCTCCACTGGTTATTGTTCCTTTATAAAGCAGGGGCCCCTTGTTGAACAGCCAATTCCAGCACTTGAAAGAAGCAACAGTATTAACCAATGTGGTCTTCCAATGGACTACCATTGGCCAGTGGCCACTGTGGCCTCCCCAGGAGTGAAACTCAACCCATCCCATCCTACCCTGCAATATGGGCTAATAGTAAATGGCGAACCCTCCCTCCCTTTCTGTTTCAGGTAGAAGGAGAGCTCACTAACTGGAAATAGTTCTGGAGCCTAGACTGTCCCCGTAGCAACTACTTCCATAGTCCAGCACACCATCTAAATTATGCCCTCACAAACCATATTGTGTAAAAATATTGAGGCCGGTTGCAAGTGAACTCTGTAGAAAGGTAAGAAAAATTATACTAATTAAGTCTATCTTAATTACCAATAATGGAGAAAAGGCAGAAGTCACTTAAACTATTGAATAAATATTTCTGTTCTGTATCTGGGGCGAAAAGATGATGTAGTTATAGCATATTATGATAACACTCCTTCCATTCTAACTAGTATCTCAGGAGAGGTTAAACAGAAGTTACTAAAGTTAGACATTTTTAAATCAGCAGGTCCAGATAACAAGCATCCAATAGTTTTAAAAGAGCGGGCTGAGGAGATCACTGGACAGTTAATGTTGATTTTCAGCGAATCCTGGAACCTGTCTGGTCTTCCAAAAGACTGGAAGAAAGCTAATGTTGTGCCAATATTAAAAAAGGGTAAATGGGATGACCTGGAAATTACAGGCCTGTCAGTCTCACACTGATCCAGAGCAAGATAATGAAGTGGCTAATAAGAGACTTTATTAATAAAGAATTAAAGGAGGATAATATAATTAACGACAATCAATGTGGGTTTATGGAAAATAGAGCCTGTCAAACTAACTTGATATGGGTTTGTTTTTTTATGAGATTACAAGTTTGGTTGATAAAGATAATAGTGTTGATGTAACATACTTGGCACTTCTATAAGGCATTTGACTAGGTACCACACGACATATTGATTAAAGAGATAAAATTAACATGGCACATATTAAATGGATTAAAAAATGGCTGATAGCTCTCAAAATGTAATTGTAAATAATCATCAAAATGGTGTCTCTTTAGTGGGGTCCCACAGGGATCAGTTCTTGACCCTAGACTATTTAACATTTTTATTAGTGACCTGGAAGAAAACAAAATCATCACTGATAAAGTTTGCAGATGACAAAAATTGAGGGAGTGTTAAACAAAGAAGGGGACAGGTCACTGATACAGCGTGATCTGGATCACTTGATAAGCTGGGTGCAAGCAAACAATATGCATTTTAATAAGGCTAAATGTAAATGAATACATCTAGAAATAAAGAACGTAGGCCATACTTACAGGATGGGGGACTCGATTGTGTGAAGCAGTGACTCTGAAAAAGATTTAGGGGTCATGGTGGATAATCAGCTGAACATGAACTCCCAGTGTGATGATGTGACCAAGAGGGCTAATGAAATCCTTGGATGCATAAACAGGGGAACCTCAAGTAGAAATAGAGAGGTTTATTTTACCTCCATATTTGACACTAGTGTGACCACTTCTGGAACACTGTGTCCAGTTCTGAAGGATGTTGATAAATTGGAGAAGGTTCAGAGAAAAGCCACAAGAATGATAAAAGAATTACAAAACCTGCCTTATTGTGACAGACTCAAGGAGCTCAATCTATCTACCTTAACAAAGATAAGGTTAAGGAGTGACTTGATAATAGTCTATAATTACCTACACCTGGGGAACAAATATTTAATAACGGGCTTTTCAATCTAGCAAAGAAAGGTATAACAGCTGGATGATCCAACAGCTAGAAGTTGAAGCTAGACAAATTCAAACTGGAAATCAGGCGTACATTTTTAACAGTGAGTATTTAACCATTTGAACAACTTACTAAGGGTTGTGGTGGATTCTCCATAACTGTCAATTTTTAAATCAAGATTGGCTGTTTTTCTAAAAAAGATATGGGCTAGCAATTATTTTGGGGGAAGTTCTATTGGCAGTGTTATACAGAAGGTCAGATTAGAGTATCACAATGGTCCCTTTTGGCTTTGGAACCTATCAATCTATGAACTTTGGCATAGGAGAAACCTGCACTCCATTCCAAATCCAAAATTCCTTTTCTAAGTGCAGAAGTATTACCTTATAATACTGCTGTTGGGGTTCAACTGCCACCAACTGCTCATTAAGATTTGGGATCTAGGACTAGACTAGAAGAGTCGTCAGCTTTCCTCTAAATGCTTCCATAAAGACCTTCTCCTTTCCAGATTAAGGCCAAGATGGAGTGAGAAGAAGAAAACTGCCAAGGGTGGTGGAGGGGAGGGGAATAATTAAAAGAAACTGATTTCCCACAGGAAAAAATTCCTTCCAAAAGGCTCTCTTGCAAAGAGCAGAAGAGGAAACATCTGCTTTCTTGGAAATGGACTGTAGAATATATATTTGGTTCAGCAAACATGCCAGCAGGAGAAGCTTTCAATACCAGTTAACCAGAAACTGCCTCCATTCCACAAATATCTACAAGTAATGTCGTCTGTTCAAAGTACTGCACCCAATGCAAGACAACAACGTCCCAGTTCCTTCACAGACACACAGCAAGTAAGTGTATAATACACATAAGCTTAGTTTTTCCTTACAAGCTCAAGTTTGAAGTTAGTCACTTGGTTATATTTAAAGCAGCTATTCAAACATAAAATTTACTTCATTCTCTTCAATATCAAGCCTACAGAATCAATTCTTTGTGCAAGTGTCTATTCTTTTCAAATTCTATATTCATCACTAATCACAGATAACATCCACACAGACATTCTATTTCTTTCTTCCTCAAATTTAATTATATTTTTAACAGTACCATAAAAAAAATTGGTTTGTAATCCTCACTTCTTTACAATGCAGATTTTTTTATTACATTAAAAATGTTTTATATGTTTTTTTACATCCAAAATACAAGTCCTATATAGACTGGAAGACAGATGACTACTGAGTTACTGCAAATGTAATATCACATAAGAAAGTGAAAGGATAGAAAGGGATTTTTATTTAAGCTATTTAAAACTTTTTGTTTATGTTAATACTTGTTTAACTTAACCGATTAACAATTTGGATAAAAAAAAGCCTTTGTTAAAGAGTCAACATCCTTATTCCTTCATTTAAGGAGACAAAGCTCAAAATAAACAGAAATGGTCCTTCACTAAAATCAGGGAAGACTATACTTGAAATTCCTGGAATCTCTAACATTAAAAAACCAATAGGGAAAAACTTTGAAAAACTTCCCTCTTTATACAAAAAATTAAGCTTTCCTTTCTTTTTTTAAAATCCTTCAGAGATCACCTAGGTGATGGTGTTGTATCCGAAGTTGATGACTTTTCTTGGGTGGAGGTTCAGGCATATAAGGTACTCTACTCGCCTAAGACGTATCTCGCCGTTTAGACGGCTATTTATACCCATTCTAGCTAGGCATCCAGTGTCTGTGTTCTGGCTGTAATAGTGGACATAGCCCTAGCAGCTCAAACAGCAGATGCGAGAACGCCCACCCACACAGTGTAGGTTCCCCCTCACTCCATATATTGGAGATTACAGTTATAAAGTCATATATATTCATACGTATTCAAGTACATGATACCAGCAGCAGGTAAACTCTTTTAGCGCCTAATAAAGACATTTAGCTGTAAAGCAACTAATCTAATTTCTATATACCGTATATACTCAATCATAAGCCGGTTCGTTTATAAGCCGGCCCCCCCAAGATGGATGAGTAAAAATGGAACATTTTTATGACCTGTCCATAAGCCGACCCTATAATTCAGGGGTCAGCAAACTTTGGCTCCCGGGCCATGAGGATAAGCCGCTGGTGGGCTGAGATGGTTTGTTTACCTCGAGTGTCCGCAGGCACGGAGGTAAACCTAAGTAAACAAAGTGTCCTGGGGCGCTAGCTGCTTACCCTGACGTGCCGGGACAGCAACCAGTGGGGACATTTTTTTGGGGGGGGGAGAAACTGGGGGTCAGGGGAGTAACCCCTGTGACCACCCCCCACATGACCTCACCCCTAGCCCAGGACCCCCACACTCTCCCCATCCCATCCCTTCCCACCTTATCTGGGGAGGATATCTCTGGCCTGGCTGGAGCTGGGCAGCGCGGCCGCAGCCTGCTCCGGCGGGCGGGGCCGAGCGGCGCGGCTGCAAC